TCTAAACTTTTTGGTGAAGGTAACATAGATTGGATCTTGTAAGAAGATAATGATCCAAAGCATCGATCAAAAATCACGAAAAAATGGAAGGAAGAAAATGACATTAAGGTACTTTCTTGGCCATCAATGTCTCCAGACCAAAATCCTATAGAAAACGTTTAGAGGTTAATGAAAATTAATATACAAAAAAAAAATTTGATCAATTAGAGGGTTAAAGGGAGAACTTACAAAAGAATGGAACTGATTATCATCTGTATTTATCGTGAATTTGGTAGCTAGCATAAAAAGGCGTACAGCTGCACTTATAGAGTCAGATGGTGATTACACAATATATTAATTTTAGTTAGTTAGTTATGTATTTTTTAAATAAAAAAAAAATTTTGAATTTATTTACTTGTAACCAGAGTTAGAGGTGGTCAGATACTTATGACCGCTATTATATAACAGATAAAGTAGTCAAAAAATGAATCAAATTTCTTACTAAGTAAATATAGTTTATGAGGTTTTTGCATATGGTCCAACTATAAATATGTCAATAGTTTGTTCATATTGGAAACTTCCAAAAAAATAGCTGATCCATGTATATCTACTATGATACCATTGTTTAAATTTATTATAAATGTAAATGATCAAATCATGTATATGAATGGAAACTTGCGTATCCTCAATACATTTCTCTATATATATTGTTTTTTCATCATCAACATCAATATTTTTGAGAAGATCATTAATTGTGTTCTTATCCGTAATATCTTATTGTAAAGTGGACTGTTATAGAATTTTTACAAACTTATGGACATTAAATCAGAATGTTATGTAAATAATTTTGATTAACCTGCATATTATCTGAAGATTTTTGAAGAAGATTACATATACTAGCAACCCCTCGCATATCGCATTCATTTGCAAAAAATCTAAGGCTAACAATTTTTGATAGCAATAATGCCTCTAAGAAAGATTCTACTAATTTACTGATGTGTTTCTTCTCTTCTTGAATAGCACTTCTTGCAAATGATTGATCTCATCAATTGAGAAGAAATTCTTAGCACAAGAAAGGTTTAGACTTAAAAATATGTTTTCCTTACAGAAATCTACAACATTTCACCAGAGTGAGCTAAGATAAAAGAAGTGAAAACATTAGTACACAATAAATAAAGGCATATAGATAGATATAACTTATACAATGTGAGCAGATTCATTATCTTATTATATAGATTTAACAGCATTAATAATAATAGTGTATTCGTCAAATAATATGTTAAAAGTAGAATCTATTTTGGCCTGTATATCAAAAAATGATTAACAAAAACATAATATCAATATGAAATAATGAGACAAATGATACATAAATTAGTCCTAGTTTGACCGATCTTCTTGTTAAAATCCAGTGTATATAAATCATAATTTAATTCATTAGACTCTTTACGATCCTGAGAATCTTTCATGTGATCCTAAATATTGAGAAGGAAGTAAAAATTATTACATAAAAAAAATTAATATAAATTAACTTTTTAATACTTACGTAGTTTCACTTAGCATGTTCTTTTACAAATGACTTTAATTTATCAGATAAAACATTCTTGCGTCTTTTGAATCTTTAATGAAATCATTTATTATATCGGTAATACAGTGACCCACAAAAGAAACGCAAGTGTGATTGGTTACCTTTGAACGGCTATAACTCATCAACTACAAATGCTAGAAACATGATCTTGTACTTGTTTTAAAGCCCAAATCTTGAATTATATCCTAGCGAATTTTTTTTTTTTACTATTAATGTGCGGTAGCTAGAGAGTTAGTAAAGGGCATATCCTAAGTAGAACAAGTTTGATCTTACGTTAAGTAACCTCTTAAAGTCTCTGATCCCGATTAAGAGGTACGGCAACCCGCTTAGAAGCACATCCCCGTACAGTTACCATCTAGTATAGACTACCTTGTAACAAGTTATTCCCATGTCACAAAACTCACTAGACCTTATTGGGTATCATCACCTTTGAATAGAGGGCTCACTTCAACCATAGAGCTTATCAGGCCCTATTTTTACTAATCTAATTTATAGGGTTTTACCCTATTAATGACTACCGAGGCTGTGGGATCAGGTCCTTTACATAGATAGTAGTTTTGTACCCATAGCGTCAAATTCACCTGGGAATTGAACCCAGCCTCTAACCCTAGTGATGATTCGATTTGGAAGG